CAAAAGGGGGGAAATGTGGGGATATATGCCATTTAAACATGGCTGCACTATTGACAACTGCAGCCCCCACAGGCCTCTATGCTGCACAGCATGTTGAGACTTGACTCCAACATGTTGAGACTTGTCATGATTTGTTTTCCCAAACCTATTGTCCCTTTACGGATTGGCTTGTTTACCTGAATTCCTTCTCCCTTGCCCACACCCAAAGCCCATTGTTTCGTTAATTGCTTTATTGCTTGCTGTACTGACTATAAAATAAACTCCTGGGACTGAAGCCAGGTCGACTCCTCAGAGTGACCCTCCTGGCCCCACTTCTCTGTAAGAGTTGTGCAGTTGGTTACTGTCTTCGCCGTCCCGATTACCGTCGCCACTGCGACAGGTTAGCAGTACCTGAACTGACAAGCTTGCGGTGAGCACTAATTGAAGTGATGCTTGGGAAACATTTAGATGAGTGCTCGGTAAATATTAGCTGGCACTGTGTTTTTATTCTCTTGGCCTTTCCTTCTGCGTATAAGCATATCTGCTTTGTTTAACTCGGTATTTATCAGAATTATTCGACCATAGATAGGATAAAGACCACCCTTTTCAAGAAATAGTTACATAAAGGAAGATATTTGGGGAAATGGCAGTGTAAATGGATACAGTAATTTCCAGACCTGATGGAGCAACAGCTCTTACTTCCTCACTTGTCTCCTGGTTTTCTCTCTTGCTTGTCCTATAATCCATTCTACACTGAAGCCACTGTCATCTTCTTTAACTTTTAATTTTTAAATCATTTCAAACTTACAGAAAAGCTGCAAGATTAGTACAATGATTTCCCATATTCCCTCTCCAGTTGTCTGCCTGTCTGTCCATCTGCCCATCCGTCCATCCATCCACCCACCCATCCATCCATCTTTTTTCTGAACCATTTAAGAGTAAGTTGGAGACATCTTACTCCTAAATACTTCAGTGTGTATTTCCTAAGAACAAGAACATTCTCTTACATAACCATAGTAGTTCAGATGTCAAAATTACCATATTGGTCTTTCAAAAAACAAAAAGGATCTTGTCATTCTCCTAATTAAAACTCCAATGAGTTCTCATTTCATACCTCCCCAGTCTCTTCCTGACCCACTCTACCTTGCATTCTGGGGTCCTGCCATATTGGTTTCTTGAACCGGCCACGCTGGTTCCCACCTCAGGGCCTTTGCACCTCCTACTCCATTTTGCCCCAAAATCTTTACATGGTTGCCTGGTTCTTGTCATTCACATCAAAGGGGTCTTCCCTGATCACCTAATTGAAAATAGCACACACACTCCCACCCACTGCACTTCACTCTCTATCCCACACCTTGTCTTGTATTCTTTAGAGCACCTAGCACCATTATTATGCGTGTTCATTTTGAGTTTTGTTGATTGCCTGTCTCCCCCACTAGACTAGCATGGGCTTTCTCTGTTTTGTTCACTGCTGTATCCCCAGTGCCTGGAACAGTGTACAGCACATCACTGGTCTTCAACACATTGGTTGAATGAAGAAAAGAAGGAATTTGCATCAAGGAGCGCCAGGCGAGTCTGGCTCTGCGGCAGGAGCCCCACCTCTTGTAGCACTGCAGCTCTTCCTGGGCCACCAGCAGCTGCGCCTTGAGTTTATTGCGCTCCTGCAGCACATCCCTCAGCTCCTGCAGCGTGAAGCGGGGCCTGTTGGGATCTGTCAGGTCCACCACCATTTTGTCTGGCCCCAGGCTCACCTGTAAGAAGAGACACCACTTGTACAGTTTCCCTTATGAGAATGGATTGTCCATCCCAGAAAGGAACGTTCTCTGGTTTTGTGGCTCCTAGGGACCCTGTAAAGGAGCCCTTGTGGTGCAAACGCTTAAGCACTTGGATGCCAACTGAAAGGTCGGCGGTTCGAAACCACCCAGCGTGACCATGGGAGAAAGACCTGCTGATCTGCTCAGTAAAGATCACAGCGTAGGAAACCCAATGGGGTAGTTCTATTCTGTCACATGGGGTCACTATGAGTCAGAATCAACTTGATGGCACCCAACAACAATAACAGGGACCCTGTGAGCTGAAGACTTTGCCCACTGGAAGTGTTTTGCTGATGGTAAAGAAGCAAAAGTTCTAAGTATCTGTTATGAGTTTAATTGTGTCTCCCCCAAAATATGTTGAAGTCCTACCCCTCATTGTTGTTGTGTCCTGTTAAGTCACTTCCAACTCACAGTCCTGCCCTTTAGTACCTGTGAATGTGACTTTATCTGGAAATAATGTCTTTGCAGGCATAACTAGTTAAGTTAGCATAAGGTCATAGTGAAGTAGCGTGGGCCCTAATCCAACAGGGCTGGTGGCAACGTGTGACCCTGGGCGGGATCGTGCATCAGACAAAAAATTCTATAAAGGGTATTATTGGGATATTATTATTGCTGAATTTTGAATATGGATGGTTTATAAGATCTTAGTATTCTATCAATTTTAAAGTTCCTGAGTTTGATAAATTATCGTGATTATGGAATGGTATATCTTAGGAGATACACACAAGTATTTAGAAATAAAGCATCATAACATCTGCAAGTAATTCTCAAATAGTGGAGCAAAAATATATGAATGAATAAATAATATACACACATAAATATTATTTGCGTATATATATATATGTGTCTGTGTGTGCCTATACGTACATACATACAGAGACAGATAAAGTAAAAGTATAGGAAAATGTTAACACCTGAATTGAAGTGAACTGTATACAGGTGTTCTTGTAACTTTTCCGTAGGTTTGAAATTTTTTCAAAATAAAGTTCAAATTAAGCAAAAGTTTGAAAACAACACAAATGTTCATTAATACTAGCCTAGTTAAATTAACTAAGGCACAACCACACACTGGAATACTCTACAGATGATAAAAAGGATGAGGCACGCTATAAAGAGACACACAATACCAAGCTACAGTGTTTCATCTATCAGGCTGACAAAGATCAAACAGTCTGAAAACACGTTACACTGTAAAGACTGCAGGCACTCTCCAATGGTCTGTCTCTCTGAGGGTGGCTGAGGGAGCAAGCTTGTTACGCAATTTGGAGTGCAGTTTGGCAACATCTCTCAAAATTTCCAACGCACTTTCCCTTTGACCCAATGATTCTGTTTCCTCACGGTCCTCTCTCCCTCAGAGGCCGCACAGCACACGTCAGGGTTATTCACTGTTGGCATGTGGTAAGAGCAAAAGATTGGGAAATAAATGTCTTTTGATAGGAGGCTGGTTAAAGCGGAGTTTCAAAACCATTTGCAAGTCACGGGCACTCTTGGCAGTTTGGTAAAGATCCCCTCCTAAAACAATGTTTTTAAAAGCATAAAATAAAATTCATAGGATCATAAGGAAACCAGTTAAGATGAAATACCAAAACCTATCGCGATCAAACTGATTCTGACTTATGGTAACCCTGTAGGACAGAATGGAGCCCTGGCGGCATAGTGGTTAAGAGCTCAGGTGCTAACCAAAAGGTCGGCAGTTCAAATCCACCAGCCGCTCCTTGGAAACCCTATAAGGCAGTTCTACTCTGTCCCATAGGGTCACTATGAGTCAGAACCAACTCGACAGCACCTAACAACAACCACACAGGACAGAGTAGAACTGCCCATACAGTTTCCAAGGGTGTAATCTTTACAGAAGCAAACTGCCACATCTTTCTCCCATGGAGCAGCTGGTGGGTTCAGACTGCCGACTTTCAGGTTAGCCACTGAGCTCTTTAACTACTGCACCACCAGGCCTCCTTAGATGAAATACAGTTGTCAGATATTTGAAAAACCAATGTATAATTAATATAGCTGCTTCTTTATTCATGCCTTAAATAATAGGATCTAGCTGTAGGTCTAACAACTACTGTTATTTCAAAGTAGTGCTCACCAGGAACAATGCTGTGAGATATGTGCTCTACTGTAACGTGATATGAAAAAACCTATCGCCAGCGATGCCAATCCTAAGTGTTACAGAGCAGAACGGAGCTCCATAGGGTTCCCTTGGCTATCATCTTTCCGGGAACAGATCACTAGGCCTTTCTTCTTCGGCAATTATGGGTGGATTTGAACCGCCAACCTTTCAGTTAGCAGCTGAGCGCAAACTGTGTGTGCTACTCACATACCTTGATATGACAGTATCTGTGATTTCTATTGGTGGCAGTCACCAAAAACAGAAACAAAAAAAAAACCAAACCCGTTGCAGTTGGGTTGACTCCAACTCATAGCGACAGTCACAGATACTCTTGATATTACTGCAGTTTGTCGTCTACATTCATAATTGAAGAAAATTATAAATTTCAGTTGGAGGTCGGTGAAAATAAAAATGTAATTTTATTTATAAATGTGATTTTGTTTATTAAATGTAACGTTAAATGTAAAACCACAGATCTCTTCAATTAAATCATTGTCCTCTTGGGCGGCCAGGAACTATAAGTTAAGAACATCCAGGTTGAACAGTTGATAGTACCGCACAATGGAATGTTTCAAAAGCCACTAGAAATGAAGAGGCTCTTTTTATTCTGATTTATTACAACTTCCATGTTATGGAAGTTATATATTATGATTTAGTACAATCTTCTATGTTAAATGAAAATAAGCAAAAGGCAGAACAACAATATGCTATCATTCGTCTAAAACAAATATATTCATATCTGCTTGTGTTGCATAAAGCAAGACACGAGAAATTGATCATTTTAATTTTCTCCAGGGAGAGGAACTGGGTGGCTAGGGGTGGAGAGAGATGGGGAGGGAGGTTTTTAACGGCAAACAGCTTTGTATGCTTTGGATTTAAAAAAGAAAAAAATTATTGTGTTTTCGGTAAAGATTTACACAGCAGTCTAGGTTCCCATTCAACAATTTCTACACAAGTTCTTCAGTGACGTTGGTTACATTCTTCATGATGCGCGAACATTCTCATTATTTCCGTTCTGTAGTTCCGTTTCCATTAATCTAGTTTCCCTGCCCCCTTACATTCTCATCTGTGTTTTAAAGTAATTGTTGACCATTGTACCTTTTGGATTTTGAATGTACATTTTTTGAAAAAGAAAGAACAAGGCATATTTTTATGAACTGTCTAGTGGCACTAAGCATTCATTCTCTCTGCCCTTTCCTCCCTCCCCCAGTTCTTAAGACTGTGGTTTGGGGAGAAAAAAGTGCCACCTCATCGCTGCCTGGTGAAGCTGTCCATTTTGCCCCACACAGGAAACCACCCAGCTTCTGGGCATACCACACCACCCTCAGGAACTTAGTGGGGTTTCTACACCTTTGTACCTTGGGTTGGAGGTAATGGGAAAACTGCCCAGACTGTGGGCTGACTGATCTTGCATAAGTCATTTAACTTCTCTTGAACCTCAAAAGCAAGTGGGTTGGTTCGAACCTCCAACCTTTCAGGTTAGCAGCAGAGAGCTTAACCACTGTGCCACCAGGTCCCACTCAAGACCTGCTAAATCAGAAACTTTGAGGCCAAGGGCCAGCACTCTGTGTTGTAAGGCACACTCTGTGCAAACTGATGCATGCAAACCCTTGAGAACCATGGCTGTAGGTCATGGTCAAAAATGTTGGGAGCCCCGTACCCAGCGCAGTGCCAGCACCTAGTAAGTGCTCAATAAATGTTAATCGCCATAATGGTTCTCAATGGAGGACTGGATACTTGCAGGGAATTGTTTTTGAGGGGCTTGGATGTTGAAGAAAGGCAAGGAGCCCCCAAAACTACTGCCATGAGATAATCGTTAAACCTTAAACCAAAAATATCCCCTGAAGTCTTCTTAAAACCAAACTATAGTTTAGCTTAACTAGTAAAGAATGTCTGCCTTGAGCACTGTACTCTTTTCAGAGCTATCTCTATGGGATAGGAAACCCTGGTGGTGCAGTGGTTAAGTTTGGCTGCTAACCAAAAGGTCTGCTGTTGGAATCCACCAGGCGCTCCTTGGAAACCCTATGGGGCAGTTCTACTCTGTCCTACAGGGTCGCTAGGAGTTGGATTTGACTCCACAGCAGCGAGTTTGGTTTTTTTTTTTTTTGGTTCTGTGGGATGAAATTGACAATAGCAACTCGAAAGGTCAGATAGGACGCTTAGGGGACAGTGAGTTTACGCTAACGAAAGAGAAACAACTCAGAAAAGGAAGGTGAGAATGGTTGCACAACTCGAGGAATGTAATCAATGTCACTGAATTGTACGTGTAGAAATTGTTCAACTGGCATGTGTTCTGCTGTATACATTCTCAACAACAACAACAAAAATAAAATATTAAAGAAAAGAAAGGCAAGTGGCCTCCGGTTCCGTGGACGCCCCCCACTCCCCAGGCATGCCCCCGGCGCCCACACTCACCTCCCCACCGGCCGACGGGCCCTCCCTGCGCAGCGCCTGCAACTCTTTCCTCAGGCTGTCCCTCTCCATCCGCAGCTCCTCCGCCTCCAGGCTGCCCTCATTCACCAGAGCTTCCAGCATCTCTAGGACGCGGACGATTTTGAACTGCAGCTGTGTCACGCGGGGGTCGCTGCCCAGGGCCATGAGCTCGCGGCCCATCACGTAGGAGATGTCATAGACGTCCTCGGCGGTCAGCTGGGAGGGACTCTTGTCCAGCGCCCCCTCGGGCCCTACCTCGTCCCCGTCCCCCTCTTCCTCCTCCTCGCGCAAAGGGGGCTCCTCCATGGCCACCAGGCCCTTGTAGCCTTCGAAGATACTTTCTCAGACTCTCCAAAGCCTCAACTTCCTCCCGGCGGCGCAGAGAACTTTCGGCTGGGCGAGCCCCTACCCGCAGGGGCGGGGGTGGCCCGAGCCGCCAATCAGCGCTGCGGGGGGCGTGCCGGGCGCGGGGCGCAAGGTCCCCAGGAGGACGCGCCGGAAGGCGGACTCTGGACAGCGCGCTGGGGTGAGGTCCGGGGCACGAAGAGACAGCTGAGCCGGACAGCAGCCGAGAAGAGGAACGACGACAACCGAGAAGTGGGGAAAGCGCTTTTCCAAGCCTGGGAGCCGTAGCCAGCTCGGGGGAAGCGGGGATCTGAGCTCCGCCCTTAGTGCCAGGGCTTGTGAAGCTGTGTTTCCATGGAGACAGGAGGCGGAGTTTCCACGTTGAGGTCCAGGAAAGAGGGTCAAAGGACCCAACTTGTTCCTTTCTATACTCAAAGCTTTACAGCCCTAGAATTTGCAGCGTATGTGGAGGAACATCCGGGGCTGTCTTGGAGGGGATTTCCCGAAGCCTGCGGCAAATTAGGGACAGAGCTGCTGTGAGCAGCGTACTGGACAGAGCACTGTACGGAAATCAGGCGGCCTGAGGTTTCGCAAAGCGCCCAGGCCAACTGTCATCATCACCTGACTTCACTCTGATCCTCAGTAAAACGGAGAGCCCCTGCCCCATCCACTTTACTGACTCTTAGGGCAAGTTACTTAATTTGTGAGCTTCGGTTTCCTCCTCTGTATAATGTGGGCAGTAACAGTACATTTTTAAAGTACAGACTAATGACTTTGCTAGGAGTCCCTGGGTGGCACAAATGGGTAATCGCTGGACTGATAGCCAAAAGGTTGGTGGGTTGAATCCACCTAGAGGCGCCTGGGAAGACAGGTCTGGCGATCTGCTTCTGAAAGGTCACACCCTTGAAAACTCTATAGAGCACCGTTACTCTGCACACATGGGGTTGCCATGAGTTGGAATACAGTCCACTGGCAACTAACGACAACAATACTTAGTGCTGGCGGTGCTTCTAGGAATATATGAAATCATGACATAAGGGGAGTGAGCTGCTGCCATCTCTTCATTCTTCAACTCTTATTTATGAAGGAACCGCTTGTGTACCGGACACTTTCCTACATGGGTGGGGGTGGAGGAGTAATCAAGTCAAAAATCATTGTGTGCTTTGAAACATTCTACAGATACACAGGATCAGTATTACTGAGAATATTAGCAGTGTGGGTTACTAAAATTGAGTTACTTTAGGTTTGATTAGAGGTTTGTAAAGGTCATAGAAAATTCAGCAATGGAACTTTTGTCTTTTCCAAGAGTATACTGGCAACTTTCTCAGAAGCAGATGTACGTAATTATCTCCACACTGAGGTTCTAGAACCACAGTAGAAAGTATACAAGGAGTGTACAAAAAACAAAGCAAGCAGACATTATTTTCAGAGAGTACAGTGTCCTAACAATCAAAGCAGAGTTTCTGCACAAGTGGCTGAGTAACCCACAGTTCAGACGGGAGCTACAGCAAGTGATTAAAAACCGAGATAAAATATTAGGGTTACCACAAAGAAAATGTAGATTTTATATAATGGATTATTATTCAGTCATAATGAGGAATGAAGTTCTGATACATGCTATGATATGAATGAATCTTGAGAACATTATGCCCAGTGGAAGAAGCCACTCACAAAAGACCACGTATTATACTGTATTGTGGTACTGTGACGTTACAAGCAAAAATTTAAATGTAATCATATGAAATATACTGTAATATTTTAAAATTTCTTTCTTCGTTTTTTTTTTTTTTTTTGAACTATATCTGGTGCCTTGAGAACTAGAAATAGACTTCCCAGAGCAAGGTCAACAGAAAGAATTCAATGTTATACTGAGTTTCTTTTTTTTATCTTCACTCTCCCCAGTATCTTCTGCATCACTGTCCTTGTTAAAAGTTCCTTCTGCTTTTACAGTTCCCTAGAAATTCATCCTCTGAGGTGCCATAGCTTCCTTCCTCTATGCTTTACATCCTTTTGCCACACAGTAAATCCCAGTAAGTCATAACTTAAAAATGTCAAAATGTCTTCCATTGAGTAGATATGCTTTTGATATAAAATTCAAAGATTCTTATGTTCATTAATTTAACCGTGTATTTACTGAGCATTTACTCTTTGCAAAGTCTTCAGTATAGTAGTCAAAAGGACTGTGGAGTTAGCAATCCTTGACTTGAACCCCGCAATTGCTACTCGCTAGTTTATAAACTTGACCAATTTTCCAAATCTCTCTGAACCACTGGTTCCTCACTGTAATCTGGAAAAAATAAAAGTATCTATTCCCCAAGACTGACGTGAGGATTAAGTGAGATTACACATGCATAGTGCCTACGACAGGGTCTAGCATCAATGAATGTTGGCTATTTTTATAAAATGTTAATAATCTTCTCTTGTTGTTGTTACGTGCTGTTGAGTTGGTTCCAACTCATAGCAACCCTTTGTACAACAGAAAGAAACACTTCGTGGTCCTGAGCCATCCTCATGGTCATTGTTATGCTTGAGCCCACTGTGTCAATCTATCTCATTGAGGGTCTTCCTCTTTTTTGATGACTCGCTGCTTTTACCAAGCATGATGTCCTTCTCTGGGGATTGACCCCTCCTGATAACATGTACAGAAGTCACTTGTCTTAGATACCTCATAAAATTTGATACTCTATTGGAATGTAATCATAGCTCTTCTCTCTCCCTCTCCGTTGGGAAATTATGAAAATGACTACAATGAGTTATAGCAGAGGTTCTTAAAGTGTGTTCTGGAACCAACAGCATCAGCATCACCTGGAAACTTGTTAGAAATGCAAATTAATGGGTGCCACCCTAGAGCTACTGAATCAGAAACTCCCGGGGTGGAGCCCAGCCATCTGTGTTTTAACAAGACTTCCAGGTAATTCTGATTCACACTTAAATTTGAGAACAAATGAGTGAGTTCCACAGCCAGACCACAAGGGTTCAAATCCTGGCCCAGCCATTTGTAAGCTGTGTGGCTGCAGGCAAGTAAATTACCCCCTGGGCTCAGTTTTCCCAACTGTAAAATGGGGATAATTACAGAATCTACTTGATAAGATTGTAGTGAAGTACTTAGAAAAGTGGCTGGCACATAATAAGTGCTCAATAAATTTCAGCTATTATTATAAACTATGTTTGTCACAAAGGTATTAAGTATAAGAAATTTCCCAAGTTTGTACAATTATTTGGGAATAGGGTATGTAGTTGGGCCAATAACACATATAGAACACGGCTACAACAAAGCTTAAAAAGAAGTCCCGTTGATATATCCTGATACAAAGGTTTAACAAATATTTCCCTTTTCCCCTGAGATTTAACACAGGCATACAGTGGCACGCAGCTGCATTTTTCTTTTCCCTTCCTTTGGACAGAAACCAAAGAATGACTGAAAAAGGGAACATGAAATAAGGTCATGCCTTATTCATAGTTAAGCAAAGAAAACAGTAAAATGGGAAACAAAAGTAAGTGGGTGGTCACACTTAATAAAAATAAAACTGTAAATGTTTGGGGCTGATATCTACAAATATGAAAGTTCCGTTAGCAAATATCTTCCCATTTGGCACATCAAGCAAATTAAGTCTTATGCTCTTCTGAATATCTGTGGCAACACTTTCTGAGTGGCACACTCAATATGGACTTCCTGTTCTTCATATAATTTTTAGGTTGTTACTCTTAAATCATGCAAGGAAACAGCAACGATTTGGAGATTTCCCTGTTTCGTTTAAATGCCTGTAACTCTGGGCCAATGACTTCATCCCTAGGAGTTGAAGGTTTTAACAAAAATAATTTGGTGGCAGGAAGGGTGGTGACCAGGCACTTGTTTTGAGTCTTTGTTTGCATAAGAGGACTTTTGCTTTCTTTTTTTTACTTAGATGATGTTATTCGGGGTGTGTGTTTGTGGACGGCGGCATTAAAGGAGATTTCAGCTTGCTTACTTTGGACAGGAAAAACTAATCACTAGAAAAGGACATCAAGTTTGGTAATGTAGATGGTCAGCGAAAAGGACCGAAACCCTCAATGAGATGCACTGGTACAACAGCCACAACAAACATACCAACAATTGTGGAGACAGCAAAGGACCCGGGCAACGTTTAGTTGTTATACATAAGGTTGCCACGAGCTGGGGCCACACGACGGTAACTAACAACAGTCATTAGAAATAAGACTACCTTCTAAGAGTAAGATTGGAATCAAAATGAGATCAGTCATCTACAGAAGCCACCCACTAGTAAGGATTAATCAGAAAAAGGCGTGGCTGAGGAATTTCACAAATTTAAGCAAGCAGGTTTTTAACAACGAATATCAAGTTGTAACAGGATCACGTCCTAATGTAATAGAATGTATTGACCGATCCAAAAAGAAACGTCAGCGGAATGTGTTCATCTATCCATTCTGTAAATATTTATCGACCACACGGTCTCTGCCGTCCCCTCCCCATAAAAAACTTCGCCAAGTTCTTCAGTATGCTTAAAGAATCACCCGGGGACTTGCTAAAAATGCAAATTTCCGGAAATTCTGAGTTCATAGATTTGGGGGTGGGATGCCCCTCTTTTTTATTTTTATTTTTTTTGGTTAGAGTGGTTAAGAGCTCGGCGGCTATCCAAAAAAAGGTTGGCAGTTCGAATCCACCAGCAGCTCCTTGGCAACCGTATGAGGCACTTCTGCTCTGTACTACAGGGTCGCTGTGAGTCGGAATTCACTCGACGAGCACGGGTTCGGTTTTTTTGGTTTTTGGTACTAAAGTCAATGGCCGGAAGTTCATTTTGAGAAACTGTTTTTCGCGTGGGGGGAACGAATTTATTAAATCTACGGGTTATTGAAACTCTGAAAAAACGTACAAAATTTCATGTGAACCGGCATATGCATTTTCTAAGGAATAAACCATAATGAAATCAGATTCTCAAAAGTGAGTCTATGAACCAAAAGATCCCTTCGCTACGGGAGAGAAATTCAACTGCTTGAAAACAACTGCACATTCGGAAGTTTTTCAACGCAACTGCTCAATTTAGCAATTTTGGTCTTCGCATAGAAAATTTAAAAAAAATTAAAAGCTAATTTTCCTAGAAGTTATACGACCCCGATCCTCGATGCATGTATTAATTTTCTTAAAAAAAAAAAAAAAACAAACAACAACAACAAAAAAAAAAAAAAAAAAAAAAAAAAAAAAAAAACCCCACTGCCTGTGGCGAATCTGCTTCTCTCAATGCAAAGGTCCGGCTGAGACAGGCATGAGGAATCTTCCGTCGCTTCGATCCGGGCGCCAGTCTCCGTGAGAAAGGAAACCCGAATCTTGCTGAGGTGAGTGGAAGCGGTATGGAAAGAGCGGGGCCCACACTGACGAGACAGAAGACGCAATTTCGGCGTGGACGGTGCATCTGCGCGTGTATGGGCCGCCATGTTAAAAACTGGCAAAGGGGTAGACCTTTTGGGGTTGTGTTGAGGGGAGTGGGGAGAAGAGGTAGGCTGGGAAGAAGAGCCTTTCCACCCTACGCCCACCCAGAAAGTGAGGGGCCTTGAGGGCCGGCGGCCAAGGCGAATACGTATGGAGGGATTGGGATAATAGGTTTTTCCACCGAGACTTCCACCTTTGCGCTTACGGTGCTACTGCGCATGCCCGGGGAGGCGTTGATGGGCTCTTCATTTTTGTAGCACAACTGGGTGGAAAGCGTGGGAAAGTCGTACCCAAAGACCCGGTAAGAAGGCGTGACTTTTTTAAAAAAAATAAGTTTCGTCTGTGTCATAATTAATAATTAGAAGGCACTTTTATAGACATTTCTTACGTTATCTCCACAAAAGCCCAGTGAGGTGGCATTGAGCTACATTTTACAGTTAAGAATCCCAAAGCTCAAAATTTAAGATTTAAGCGTGGGTGTTCTGACTCCCGATCCAGTGCTCTTTTTCACTTTCCTACCTCAGTCCCCACTCTTTATCTCTCAGATCTCATCCCCATTTAAGAAGTAATGATGAGAATAAAAATCCAAAGAGATCGTGGTAGGAAATCTCAAAATAATGCTGCAACGGAGGAAAGTACATGTAGGAGGATTAATGAGAAGCAGCAAAGCCTGCTGCTCTCTTGGCATTTAGTGTTGATAGAAGAACGCAGATGGGGGAGCCAACAGAACATCCACATTTATCTCTTTGTAACTGTCTTCAGATTTTAATTTGAAGAACTCGTAAAGCTTTGAACAGGAGCTCTATTATAATAATATCAGTTTTTAGAGTGGATCTTTGTGACCATTTTCTGTTGAATGAGGAAAGGATTCTTTCTTACTTGGGGTGTGGAGGAAGTTTTCAGGCTCACAAACCCAGAATCCTGGTGGATTTTTTTTTTTTTTTTTTTTTTACATTCCATCTCCAAAGCTTTATGTTTCATGCAAGCTATTTAAAGAATGGTTAAGAACTCGAGCTCTGTAATCGAAACAGCCTTTGGATTCTAACCCCCTGGCTGGGCTACTTCTTAGTTTTGTGATTGGGGCAAAAGACAAGGTTCTTGTGTCTCACTTTCCTCATCTGAAGTGGCAATAACAAACAAGATGGTATTGTTTTGAGGGTGAGATGATTTTAGTGCTTAGCACAGTGCCCGGTGCCTCCTAAATGTTCAGTACAAATTAACTGTAATTATTATAATCCTTAGTTTTTCCTGCAACTCTGTGATGGAGGAGGTGAGTAAGATTAGAATCCAAGAATTGTAGGTAGACCTAAACGACATAGCGCAGTATTTTCTCTTCCCGTGGACGAGGCACAAAGTGAGTGGGGGGCGGAGCCTAGATCGGGACCAAAGCGGTCTCACTCTCTTCCAGTGCTCTCTTCAAGGCTCCAGCTGTTTCTCAACCTTTTACTGATAAGGACACCAGAGAGGCGGCTTCACCAAAGTTGCTTGTTAACGATGACAGACATACGTTGCCCTTTTTTTTTTTTTTTTTAATTGTGCTTATGGGGAAAGTTCACAGCTCAATTTCTCATACAAAAATTTATACACGTATTGTTTTGTGACCCTAGTTGCAATCCCTGTAATGTGACAGCACACTCCCCCTTTCCTCCCTGGGTTTCCTGTATCCATCCAACCAAGTTCCTGTCCCTTCCTGCCTTCTCATCCTGCCTCTGGACAGGAGCCACCCATTTGGTCTCGTGTATTTGCTTGAACTAAGAAGCACACTCCTCACGAGTATTATTTTATGTTTCATAGTGCAGTCTAATCTTTGTCTGAACAGTGGGCATCAGAAATAGTTTTAGTTCTGGTTAACAGAGCATCTGGGGGCCATGGTTTCAGGGGTTCCTCCAGTCTCAGTCAAACCATTAAGTCTGGTCTTTTTACCTGAATTTGAGTTCTGCACCACACTCTTCTCCTGCTTCATCAGGGACTCTTTGTTGTGTTCCCTGTCAGGGAGGTCACTGGTGGTAGCTGGGTACCATCTAGTTCTTCTGGGGTTAGGCTGATGGAGTCTCTGGTTTATGTGGCCCTTTTGTCTCTTGACATTGCCTTATTTTTACAGCGTAGTGGCAGACGGTGTACTGTTGAGGTCCTGCCTCTCAGTTCTCAAATGAAGTGATCCTTTTTACCTGACTTGGACAGAAAAGCTCTGTGAATTTTGATTGGAGTTGGTTCAGTTCCATAGTATTTATCAGGAAGTGTCCTAGGATCTGGAGACAAAGCAAGGCAGGCACTAGACTGAAGAGTGGTTTCTGGATTGGGGGAAAAAAAAAGTTGCCATTGAGTTGATCCCAACTCAGTGGCAACCCCACGTGTTACACAGTAGTACTGAGCTATCTAGGGTTTTCTTGGCTGGAATCTTTACGGAAGTGGATTACCAGGCCTTTCTTCTTAGGTGCCTCTGGGTGGACTCAAATCACCAACCTTTTGGTTAGTAGGGGAGGGCAAACCTTTTGCACCACCCAGAGGCCTGATTGGGCAACATGGGATCCTTACTACAGAAGAGGTACAGTGAGCTGTGGGAGAGGCAGATTTGCTTCATTTAGGAGGGGCTTGAAGCTTGACTTGGATGGACGGTAGAATTTTCACAAGTGGCGATGTGGGAAGTGGAAGGGAAGAGAATAGTCCCAGCAGTGGAAATTCTACAGGGAAGGACACGGGATCAGGGTGCTTTCAGAGGAGGAGGAGGGATCCTGCCTGGTTTAAGAATAGGGTTAGCCAGAACCTCGAATTCCTAAAAAACAAAAACAGACCTATTGGACTGGCTGAGACTGGAGGACTCCCTGAGACTGTTGCCCAGAGATACTCTTCAGACCGTGAACCGAAACTAACCCCAAGATCACCCTGTAGCTAAATAACAGATTGGCTCACAAAATAATGAATATCAACTGTAAGTACTGTGCTCTGAAACCAAATGGTCAACAGTTTTTTTAAAACAAAGATGACAGTGTTAGGGGGCAGGGAAATTCAATTAATGGAAGTGGAACAACCAGGACAGAAATAATGAGAAGGTTTACGCAGTGTGAAGAATGTAACCAATGTCACAGAACAACTTGTGTAGAAATTGTTGAATGGGAACCTACTGCTGTGTAAACCTTCACCAATAACACGATAAAATATTATTTTAAAAAGAAATAGTGATGTGGTATGGTGAGATGCTGAGTGAGGGTTTTGACTGCTGCACCACTGGCTTTGAGTTTTATTTTGTAGGTGTCTGGCTTTCGTAGTGGGGGAAAAATAAGTCCACAGTGTACCCCATAAGCAGTCACTCCACCACATAACCCATCAGCTGAACAACAAAAAGGACCCTTGAGGGCAATCGAGAGAAAAGTTGCAGACGCATTAGGAATGAGGATCACCATATGTATTTCACAGAGCCCTGGTTTCTAAATAATGTCTTTCAGCATTGACTCTACACCTTTTACAGAGGCGGTCATCGAAGTATTAGCAGTGTCTGAAATGTTGGCAAGCACCTTATTCCAGCAAAGACTCACATGAATTCATTACCCTGGATCAGAAGTAAGGACGACTGGAGTGGGCTTGCTGGGCTAAAATTGCCCTTGCGATCAGTTCTCATGCTCCAAGGCATAAACTGCAGCAAGGAGTCTGCGGGTGGGTCACTGTGGTCTTAGCTTTGCTCTCTGTTTACTGCAGAAGGCTGCATTCAAATCACCATTTCCCCTTGTGGGTTTTTTTTTTAAAGTCCTTATCTTTCAGTGATGCATACTGAGGTATGTACAGATGAATGATGTAATGTCTAGAAATTGCTTCAAAATAATCCAAGGGCAGGGATGTGAGTGGGGTGGAGATGAAACAAGACTGGCCACATGCTGGTCATGGTTGGAGCCTGGTGAGTTCATGGAGGGTTCTTTTTTTTTTTTTTTTTAATTGTACTTTAGATGAAGGTTTACAGAACAAATAGTTTCTCATTAAACAGTACACATAGTGTTTTATGACATTAGTTAACAACCTCATGACATGTCAACACTCTCCCCTCTTGACCTTGGAGGACCTTTTTTTTGGTGAAAATATACATAGCCAAAGGTACACCATTTCAAAAGTTTCTACATGTACAATTCAGTGACATCGATTACATTCTTCCAGTTGTACTGCTATTCTCACTATCCTTTTCCAAATTATTCCATCACTGTTATCTTCAACTCACTGCCCCCTAGGCTTCCCATCAAACCTTTTGAGTTGCTGTTGTCAATTTGATCCCACATAGATAATTCCTTTTTTTTTTTTGTACCTTAGATGAAAGTTTGCAGAACAAATAGTTCCTCACTGAACAGTTAGTACACATATTGCCCTATGACAATGGTTAACAACCCCACGACATGTCAACACTGTCCCTTCTCAACCTTGGGTTCCCTATCACCAGCTTTCCTGTCCCCTCCTGCCTTCTAGTCCTTGTCCCTGGACTGCTGTACCTCATTAGTCCCATTTTGCTTTATGAGGCTGTCCAGTCCCCGGCTGAATGGTGAACTTCGGGAGTGACTTCACCACTAAGCTAAAAGGGTGTCCAGGGGCCATACTCTAGGGCTTTCTCCAGTCTGTCAGGCCAGTAAATCTGGTCTTTTTTCTGTGAGTTAGAATTTTGTTCTACATCCTTCTCCAGCTCTGTCCAGGACCCTCTATTGTGATCACGGTCAGAGCAGTCAGTGGTGGTAGCCGGGCACCATCTAGCTGTACTGGAAGTCTGGTGGAGGCCATGGTAGCTGTGGTCCATTAGTCCTTTGGGCTGATCTTTTCCTTGTATCGTATTCTCTTCATTCTCCCTTGCTCCCAAAGGGGTGAGACCAGTGGAGTACCTTAGATGGCTGCTCACGGGCTTTTAAGACCCCAGATGCTACTCACCAAGGTAGAATGCACAACATCGTCTTTATAAACTGTTACGCCAGTTGAGCTAGATGTTCCCTGAGACCATGGTCCCCACAGCTCATGGAGGGTTCTTACACTGTTCTCTACGTTGTGTTGAATGTGTATTTTACTCTGCAGACCTGCTGGAGTTAAAAATAAGGCTCTGTAAAAGAGTTAAAGAGGCTTGGATGACTCCACCTTGGCCCCCCTCATTTGAAATTCCCATCTCCTTTTCACCTCATTGGGATCCATGTTTCTGCCTGCACATTTGCTTCCTCCCTCAGAAATTTTAGTTCAGACATTAAACAGACTTCTGAATAAATAAGTTTAAATGTTTGTGCGTTCTGTACATCCTGCTCTTACATGAACTGATGTAACAAAACAGATGAAAGATGCTTTGCTTTGTTTCTCTGTCTGCCTTTTACCTGTTGTAAAAACTCCTAGCTTTACTCTGCCCGGCGAAGCATCTCTCGCTGACACCTTGCTGCCTGTTTCTGAAACCAAATAAACTCTGTAAAATTAAGTTTGTCAGAATTTTTGAAATAGTTGGCACGTTTGGAATTCCTGGTAGTGAAGAGTTTTTTGAAATGCGGCTTTTCACAGCAATTCCTGAGTGGGTTTTCCTAGGGCCATTTATAAGTCCTTGAAAGGTGAGCCTCGATTTTCATCCAGGCTCGGCTCCACGACTGGTCGACCGCACCAGACATTGTCATTGGTAAGTGCCCTCGTGTGGCTCAGCAGGGCGATACACACATGGATCGAACGCAAGCACACCGTTGTCCTCTGCTTTGTCCTGATAGGAGGGTGGAGGGATGGGTGTGAGCCATCTCTGTGCCTGACTTCGATACTGACTCCCCTGCTTGCTAGCTGGGAGGCCTTGGCCTCTGCGGGGATCTGCTTCCTTCGCTAACTGCAGGAAGGGCTGAGTAATAGTACCTACTTCATCGGGTTGGTGGGAGGATTACATAATGGGTGCCTGGCACAGAGCAGACGCTACCTGAATGCTTGCTCTTATCCTTCTCAGAACATGAACAAGTGGATGCCCATCGCCAAGGAGTATGACCCACTGAAAGCCGGCAGCATCGATGGCACCGACGAAGAACCACATGACCGGGCAGTCTGGAGGGCAATGCTGGCCCGCTATGTCCCCAACAAAGGCGTCACAGGAGATCCCCTTCTCACCCTGTTTGTGGCCAGACTCAACCTGCAGACCAAAGAGGACAAGTTAAAGGAGGTGTTTTCCCGATACGGTGACATCCGGCGGCTTCGGCTGGTTAGGGACTTGGTCACCGGCTTTTCAAAAGGCTACGCCTTCATAGAATACAAGGATGAACGTTCCCTGTTGAACGCTTACAGAGATGCAGATGGCCTCGTCATCGACCAGCATGAGATATTTGTGGACTATGAGCTGGAAAGGACTCTCAAAGGGTGGATTCCTCGGCGGCTCGGAGGAGGTCTCGGGGGGAAAAAGGAATCTGGGCAGCTGAGATTTGGGGGACGGGATCGGCCTTTTCGAAAACCTATTAATCTGCCTGTTGTTAAGAACGAACTCTACAGAGAGGGAAAAAGGGAAAGGAGGGAGCGGTCTCCGTCCCGGGAAAGACACTGGGACTCGAGGCCGAGGGATCGAGACCACGACAGGGGCCGTGAGAAGCGGTGGCAGGAAAGAGAGCCAGCCAGGGTGTGGCCTGAAAATGACTGGGAGAGAGAGAGGGATTTTAGAGATAACAGGATCAAGGGCAGGGAGAAGAGGGACAGAAGTAAATGGAGGCTCAACAGTAAAATAGAAGATGAAGATAAAGCCTAAGTGATTTGCATGGACTTTTTATACAAAGTGTAAGTCTCGAGTGAATAAACGTCACTGATGATAACAAGGTTGGAGTAAGTTTTCCTTCCAGTCTCGAACACAGGTTCAAGCTGAACACACTGACATTATGAATTTATCTTCTTCATTCTCTGTATGAGCTTCCTGTGGCTGCTGTAACAAAATACAACAGATTGGGGGGGCTTAAAACAACACATTGATTCTCTCACAGTTCTGCAGCCCAGAAGTCTGAAATCAAGGTGTTGGCAGGGCCATGCCCCCTCTGCAGGCTGCAGGCTGTACAGGAATCCCTCTTGGCCTCTCTTAGCTTCTAGCAGTTCCAGGAAATCCTTAGCGTTCCTTGGCTTGGAGCTGAATCACTCCAGTCTCTACATCTGTCTCCATGTGGCCGTCTTCCCTGTGTGTTCATCTTCTTTGCCTTTTACGAGGATACCAGTCATAAAGAGATGAGGGCCCACGCTACTCCAGTAAGACCTTATGTTAGCTAATAACATCTGCAAAGACCCTACTTCCAAACAAGATCGCGTTCACAGGTAGCAGGGGTTAGGATGTCAACATACCGTTTTGGAGGACAGTCTAACGCATAACCACCTGCTCCTAGTTTATCCTGCAGTCTTGTGCACACATGAGAAAGGGTGTATTTACCTGCAGCAGTTTGTGGGAATGCAAGTGGAATGAACTTAACCTGCCCGTGAGTGGGAGGTTGGATAAGCGTTAATAAATCGTACACGTATACAATAGGCCACGGTTTCTCAACTTTGGCACTGTTGGCATTTGGGACCAGGTAACGTGGGGGGGGCTGTCCTGTAGGGTGTTTAGCAGTCTTCCTGGCCTGCAGCATTCCCCTCTCCAGCTGCAACAACCAAAAATGTCTCTACCTGTTGCTGTCGATTCCAACTCACAGTGTCCTTACAGGACAGAGTAGAACTGCCCCATAGGATTTCCAAAGAGCAGCTGGTGCATTTAACCTGCTGACCTGGTCTCTAGACACTGTCAAATGTCCCCTGGAAGAGCAACATTGCCCTGGATTGGGAACCGCTATCTAACATACTGACATGGAGTGATCCTCAGGATATTTTAAGCGAAAAATGCAAGGTACAGAACAGCATGTATGTAATATGCTGCCATTTATGTATAAAAAAATAAGGGAAGTGTTAGAAACATACACATGTATGTATGTGTGTGTATATATGTTATATATATATATTTACAAAATATTTCTAGAAAGATAACCTAAGAAACTGGTAACACTGGTTACCTGTGGGAAAGGGGTGGAAGGGGGATTTTTGAGTGTGGTGGTTAAGGTTGTATGTCAACTTGGCTGGGCTATGATTCTCAGTGGTTTCAGTTAGGATGTAGTTTGGCAGTCATATAATGATGTAGTCGCCTCTATGATGATATCAGATATAATGCGATCACCTCCATGATGGTATCTGCTGTGAGTAGCCAATCAGTTGAAAGGGCGTTTCCTTGGAGGTGTGGCCTGCATCCAGTATAGGTGGACTCTTTGGCAAGGCTCACGGGCTTTTGTTTGCTCTGGATCCTACAGCTGGCTCCTGTTCATCTGACCTCCGATTCTTGGGACTTGAGCTAGCAGCTTACTTACCCATCGTGGGATTTGTCAGCCTCTGCAGTCTGTGAGCCAGGGGCCTGCCAGCTTACCTGCCAATCTTGGGATTTGTCAGCCTCCAAAGCCTGTGAGCCAGAGGCCTGTTGTCTGCCCATCTTGGGTTCACCAGCTCCTGCAGCTACATAAGTCAGGAGAAGCCTCTGGCCTGACTGACGGTCTTGAGACTTTTCCAGCCTCCACAACCACGTGAGCCATTTCCTTGACATAAATCTCTATGTATATAGACACTTCACTGGTTTTGCTTCTCTAGAGAACCCAGTATAAGACACTCAGTACACATGCTTTTATTCTAAGGATAAATTCTAATTCTACTGGGCAGCCAGGTGTGAGGCCCACTGCTCTAAAGAACACCACTATCCTATCTCATCATTTTGTCAGCAATATGGAAATGGGCTGCATTGCAGAGTCTGCAAATTGATCTGATGGCTTTTAGCAAATAATAGTAGAATGTGTACCAAACAGCCCCTGTCACATGGCCTTGAGTGCTTCTGTAGGAAACGCCACCCTTGCAATTTGTGAGCTCCCAGCTCTGCACTGGAAGCTCTGTGAGTGGAGAGAAAGAGTTTTGTCTGGGCAAACCCCCAAGTCACGGGTTGCAGACAGGATGTCTGTCTCCAGGGACCATGGCAGTCCTGTGAACTGGCCAGCCACACGGTCCTCAAGCCATCTTCCACCCACCGCCCTTCTCAGTCCAGTCTCCCCCTGCCCACCATTCTGCATCCCCTAGGCTCCCCCACTCTGTTCCCAGTCTGCTTTGGCACATTTGTCTTCTTAGCAGGGGGCTGCGTGATGCAAAAAAAAACCCAGCTGCCATCAAGTCGATTCCGACTCATGGCAACCCCATGTGCGTCAGAGTAGAACTGTGCTCCAGAGGGTTTTCAACGGCTCATTTTTCAGTAGCAGATCTCCAGGTCTGTCCTCTGAGGTGCCTCTGGGTGGACTCGAACTGCCAACCTTTCGGTTAGCAGCTGAGTACCTTAACCGTTGCACCACCCATAGAGTGAATGCTAAAAGGAAAAAAGATGCCGGGGGAAAAAATCCACACGAGATGTTGCAATGTCTCATCCTTAGCAACTTTGTTTGGTTAGTACTGCATAACTCACAGCAGATTCCAAGGCACTCTCGCCTTGAACACAGCTCCATGCTCTAGGCATCACCAGGGACAGGGTACAACAGAGGATTACAGGCTCTTGCAAAGTTGTCTCCAGTTGCTGGGTAGGGAAACTGCTGTCCCTATTTTCTGTTGCTCTGTGTCTGAGCTGGGCCAGCTGCTCCTGTGACTTCAGAGGCCTTGCCTGTCCAGTCGATTCATCCCCTATAATATACCATCACCCTGATCATTTCATTAGCATGACTAATGGAAGGCTACCCCCTTCCCCCCTCCCACTTAAGTACAACACGGATGATCAAAAAATCTCTACAGAGAATTGTAAACAAACCAAGTCAAATAGCAATTCTAGTGGCGAGTGATGTATTTGGTTTAAAGAAGCTCGTGTTTTACTAAAGTTAGTGCAAAGGCCAGCCTCAGTTCATGGGATTATTAAATAGATAACCGAAGGGGTCGTAGTCATCTGCTGTAAACGGTGAGAGCCCTGGATATAAATAAACAGTTCTTTAGAGTTTGGCATCACTTTGGAAGGGTCCTTCCTCAGAGGAGACAAGTCTGTTTCAGGGTTCAGTTTCGAGACAGCGTCTGAAACAACTGAGAGGCATGTAAGGCAGCGACACCTGGGGCCGCCAGATTCAGTGGCAGGCACTGACGGCAGACAGTTCGGGTCCCAGGATAGACGAGGGTCAAGGTCACAGGTGCTGCAGGGCTTCCTGTCCTTGCTCTGTGTAGCCGTCATCTCGGTGCGAGTTTGCCCACTGGCCGAAGGACTCCTGGACATGCGTGCTCCTCTGTGCGTTGGCCAGGCGCTTTTTGTCTCGGGAGAAGAAGCTAAACCTTTTGGGAAGGGGAAGGAAAGAAAGAAATGAGCGTCTTCCCCTTGGCTGTGAACTTTACATGTTTCGGTGCCAGGGACACGGAGCAGCAAATGCAGGAGGGGCAAATCAACTCAGGCCGTGGGAGAAAAAGTTGGGGGTGCACATCCTAGTTTCTAAGGAAGCAGCAGGGGGCTGTGCGTGCCATTTAGTCATGGCATCTTGGGAGTGGCACACTGGGAACGGGCGTGTGTGTCCGTGATGGGTGACGGATCTCCTGCCTTAGGCACTACTGAGAATGCCTGCCCCCAACCAGGGGCAACAAGAGCGACTGCAAACCGAAACGGTGGATTCCTTTAACTAGCCTCATCACAGAAACGGAATCCCTGAGAGCCATGTGCAGGGCAAGATGATTTTGATGTAGACAGATTAATATTTTAAATAATTACATACTGACTTAATGTGAATCAGGAAAATGTATAAGTAGCACATCAAAGCCCAGGTTTTGAAGATATCATTGCTTAGGATGAGGCTAAAAGTAGGCATTTAAATAAAGAAAAATGATACAATTTAAAAATATATTAAGTAACGAATATATACAGGTAGTCCCTAACTTATGATGGAGTTCCATTCCGACGACTCCATTGTAAATCGGTTCTGATGTAAGTCAAATACCTCTTTTTTTAGTTTTCATTATTATTGCTATAGCCTGCTGTAAGGCAGTGTTCTGAACAGTAAATCATAACATTGAACATCTGCGAGTGAACATCTGAGAGTGATAGCATCAGCAAATTACATGCTGCAACATTATATGTACAGGAGTCCAAGGATAATGAATGAGTTCTGTTCCTAAATCTGTCTTTAAATCGAATTTGTAGGTAAATCAGAACAGTTAATTACGTTCGAATGTCAGTTAATCAAATGTTTGTCTATGTTAGTATATAGTGTACTTTTCTGTGCATAAGAAGCATTAAAGAAACACTTCCAGATACACTAAAACATCTGTAACATAATACAGTAATAATATTTTGATGTGCATCGCAAAGCAGCGCCCATTTGTTCTTGTGAAACACTGTATGTACCTTGAATTTTTAATATAATAGGCTTTACAGGGATTGGTCCGTAACTACTGGTTGGAGGTATTACTATGACAAGATGTGATAAGATGTACAAAAACAAAAACAGATGGTGTAAGTGCGGTTCATAGTAACTCGGGTAAGTCGTAAGTTGGGGACTACCTGTGTGTGTGTGTATATATGCATATGTGTGTATATATGCATATGTGTGTATATATGCATACGTGTATATACATATGTATATGTGTATAAACATACGTATATGTGTGTATATGTGTATATATATATAAACGTTGTTGTTAGTTGCCATCAGGTAAGTTCCAACTCATGGCAACCTCACGTGTGCAGAGTGCAATTTTGCCATAGGGTTTTCAAGGCTGTGACCTTTTGAAAGCAGATAGCCAGGCCTTTCTTCCAAGGTGCTTCTGGATGGGTTTGAACCATCAACCTTTTCTGACCACCTAGGGACTGTATGGAGCCCTGGTGGTGCAATGGTTAAGAGCTCAGGCTGCTAACCAAAAGATCGGTAATTCGAATCCACCAGCTGCTCCCTGGAAACCCTATGGGGCTGTTCTCTGTCCTACAGGGTCGCTATGAGTCGGAATCGACTTGACGGCAGTGGGTTGGTTGGTTTCTTTGTTTTTAGGGACTGTATATACAGATATAGAGACATATCTTGATTTCTTTCTATATATAAAACGGTAGTACACGTTGTTCTCTGATTAGATAAAAATTGTGAATATAGTATGTGATGCAACTTAGCAAACACTAACTTGGAGTGTCAAAAATTGATTTAATGGCGAGAGCCTTTACAATTTATCCCTATTACTAGCTACACAGCAACAGCTAATTCAGACCAAGAGGTCTTTTTAAAGTAGCTGTGACTGTTGGAAAAGCTCGATGGCAACGGGTTTGGTTTTTTTTGTTTTGTAACTATTGCACACTGCTCAGGGTGAACAGTTTGATGTCTAAAAGATAAAGGTGGAAGTCACAAGCAGAAAGCTTGCATTGTGGCCCATTCAGATCAAGGTCAGCTTCAAGTCCACACAGACAGAGGCTAACCCAACAAAACAATCTGTTGCTGCCAGCCAAGTCGATTCCGACTCATGGCGACCCCATAGGACAGATCAGAACTGCCCCACAGGATTTCCAAGGCTGTAATCTTTATGGAAGCAGACCGCCACATCTTTCTCCCACGGAGCGGCTGGTGAGTTTGAACCACCGACCTTTTGGTTAGCAGCTGAGTGCTTTAACCACTGTGCCACTAGGGCTCCTGGACAGTGGAGAAACAAAAAAAATCTGCCGCCTTTGAGTCGATTCCGACTCACAGCAACTGGGCAACCCAAGTTTATCTGGGGAAATGCTCTGAGGCAACTAGGGTCTCTTCTCTAAAACATATACGTGTGCTCGCAAGTGAAGACAGGATTCTCATACGAGGTTATTTGCGAGCTCTTTCCATGATTTGTTGTTAGTTGCCATCGAGTCGATTCCAATTCATGGCGACCCCATGTGTGCAGAGTAGAACTGCTCCATACGGTTTTCAAGGCTGTGACCTTTCAGAAGCAGATCGCCAGGCCTTTCTTCTGAGGTGCCTCTGGGTGAGTTCGAAATGCCAGCCTTTTGGTTAGTAGTGGAGCGCTTAACCGTTTGTGCCACCCAGGGACTCCTTCCATAATGTAAATCGGGGAAACAGCGGGCCAGGAATTCAGCAGCAACACATCACTTGCCACTTCATGTCCGCAGGACTCAACTAAGGAAAGCCACTTAGCGGATCCTGCCCAAAGGAACACAGGAAGAATCAAAACATGGCTCCCCTCCTCTGCTTCTCTTTTTTTAGCAGGAGCAGATGGCTTGCTGGTGATGGCTTGGCAGAACAGCAGTTTAGAAAGCTCCAGCGTGAAGACTGAAAACAGTGTTAGTGTCACGCGGGGGACCACAGGGACGCAGCTTACTGACCCGTCACTCAAAGGCCCGTCTTTACTGGAACATGGACAAGATGGTTTTAGAATGGAAACAGAAGAGACAAAGAGAATTATCGGTGACAGAGCTGAGACTCCGCGGCGTCACTCATGCGCGTCGAGCGCATCGTCGGGCACATTTGAAATGACGTTTTGAGACCCGTTTGAAATGGGAACACACGAGTCACAGCCATGCAGCTGAAGTAGCCAAGAAGACATGCCAGCCCCAGTAGCCATTCCAAAGGCACAACTCAAAAGGAAACCAGAGAAACGGTGCCTACAAGGGAGACAAGCTGTCGGATGGGCTGCAGCGTGGGGTCATCTATGATCAGTCCAGCTGCCATCATGGGCATTACGGCTGTAAAGATCCTGCTCAGAGAAATACAGACAGACAGACAGCATGAAAAAGAAACACACTCCACAGATGGCCCAGCTGGAGGGTGTGTGTGTGAAGACCCCGAGGGAAGATGGGGTGGAGGGGGAAGGAAGGACTTAGAACCCACTCTGGGAGTCAGTGGTGGCACCCTCGCTCGGGGGTCTTCCAGCATGACTTCCCCAGCCGCCATGAACTGCAGGCTCTGTGCCCTATGGCAGCCAGGGAGAACGGGAGAGCAAGGGAGGCGGGCAGAGTGGGCCAGGCATCACACAGCTAAGCGGAGACCCTGGGTGATCTTCAGAGGTGCTTCCTCAGCCCGAGGATAATGCAGAGCCGACGGTACGTGCCTACCAGGCTGGGCAGGCAGAACAGAAGAAACCAAGCCACCTTGTTTAATCTGAAAGGCTATGATTTCTTTTCTAAAGGTTGGCTGCACAAAGATATAAAACAATCATCTGAAATGTGGCTTGTGCACTCTCTGTATGTTTGCGTCACCTTTGAAACCCGTGTCAGAGCAGCTGGGAGTTGGCATCTTTGCAGACCCTCCTGCACGGCTTCTCACTGTGACAACGACAAGAGGGGTGCCCTTTGCTAAGTGAACCGGCCCAGTCCCCAGAGGCCAGGCCACTGGGCTGTTAGTTGCCAGGGGGATCCAAGCCACACCATTCTGCTCTCAGTCCTATAAGGCTCCTCCTTAGCATAACAGGAACCGCCAAAGACAGTCACTGTGCGGGAAGTAGCCTCAGACACGTGGGGCGTGTGCCTGGAGAAATGCCTGCCTCCCTGGAAACACCGGACTTCACTCAGGGCCTGGTCAGGGCCAGAATGATGCACGGGAGCCCTGGCACACCTGGAGGGTTCCAGCCATGTTGCTGTCTGTGTATCTTGGCTGGGCTTGCTGAATGGATGAACAGACTGTCCCCTCCCCTCCCTAGTCCAGCTCCCTCCCCAATCCAGAGGGATGGCCACCTCCTTTAAAAGACTGGGCTGTTTTGGCCAAAAGTTTATGTGCTGGATGCAGTATAGCTGGTTTTAAGTCCCCTCCTCCCAGTCCTTCTGGAAGATTCAAACAAACCAAGTTCTAACAGTGGCATTTCAGGCGGTAGAATGGGCAGCTGTGAAGAAGCTATTTCTGGGTGGAAGCCAGGAGGGGTCATGGGTAGGAGGATGGGACAGAATGCACTGTCCCCGCTACCGTTAGACACTTGGGTGGCCGCCCACTCTACAACCAGCTTTTCCTGCCTGCAAGGCCAGTTGCTCTGATGGAAGATTCTCCGGCACTCCCTCCACGCTAGCTGTCTGCCTTCCTGCTCACCTCTCCGCCCTGATTGGCAGGAACCAGCTGTGTGTGACTGTGACTGAGAGAGAGGGACACCACAGAGGGGGCGCTGGTGCCTGGTGTGGACAGGACGAGGCTGAGATCACGCAGGCGTTCCTTGTGACCTTCTGGGCAATGCCAGCTGCACTCCCCGGCTGCCAGCTGCTTGATCACAAGCTATTCTTGGACGCCTTCTGGACATGCTGTTTTGACTGGCGGTGGGGGTTTCTGGTTCCCCTGACCAGTTCAGCCCAGAAATACATTGTCTGATGTCTGGGTCCCATGGTGCACTTGTGAGATAAGGGAATAACTGGGCAGTCAGCCCACAGCTGGTGACTCAAGGAGCGAGGGAGGGAGGGGCAGGGGAGGACCAGAGGTGTCTGGGGCCACCTCCTGGGCAGTGACTGTCTTTTGGGGCTCCCTGTTTGCTAAGGACAAGTCCTGGCAGAGGTGGGAGTAGAATAGCGTGGCTTGGAGCCCCTAGAATGCTAACTACCATCTGGACAAGCCTGGGGCCAGGTGTGGACACAAGGCATGGGTTCAGATCCCAACTGGGATCCTTCCGGAAGTGTGATCTACAGTGGATCACTGCTTCCTGGGGCCCCAGCTTCTCATCTGAGCAATGGGGAGAATGTCCCAGCTCTGAGTCTCTGATGGGGGCAGGGAGGCTGCAGCAGTTCAAGTTCAAGTGCTGAGCCTCCATGGTGGTTCTTACTTAACCGTTGGGGGATGAGGGTGGGGAGGCACCAGTCAAGGGCGTGTGGCTGAGCTGCAAATCAGCCATGAGCTGCACTAAACAGACTGTGTGACAAATACTCCCCACACGCGAGGACAGAGGGACCAGACCCATCCAGACTGACGCAGGAGGAGGGAAGGGTGGGAAGGGAGACAGGCAGGCGGGGAACCATCTTATAAGAACTGCCACTCTCACCCTGTGCAGGGATGATCCGTCCTACCCATGATCTGTTCCACCCCCAGCTCATCCTCGAGGCATCTAGGCTCTTGGGCGCACTGAGGCAGCTCCCAGTCAGGAGCCCAGGTAGGCAAGGGCAACCAGCATCCTGCCAGTGCTGGTCAAAAGCCTTCTGTGCCATTGGCTCTCCCAGTTATGCCCTAGAAGGTCGCTGCCCCTAAGGAATCTCTGTCCTCCCTCTCCCCAATACTCTCTCCTTCCCCCTCTCCTCTTTCCCCCCTCTTCCCCTCTTGTCTTTCCTCTCTCTCTCCTCTCTCCCCGCTCCTAACCCCCTCCCCTCTCTGTCTGTGTCCCTCTCACCTCACTCTGTCTATCTCTCTTTCTGGGATTCCCTGATTCCAGGTGCTTCCCCTGCCCAGCTCAGAGCCCCCAGGCCTGGCTGAGCTCCCAGATGCCAAGCTAAAGGGAAGAAAGCTCTGACGAAGGGCCCCGCGGTTCATTCTGGAACAGTCTGGAAAAGCAGGGCCGGCACCACAGCCTCTTCAGGAGAGGGTAGAAGAACTAGTTCCAGTGGGAACAGGACTGCTGGCGAATTCTGCTAACTCTCCTCTGGATTTCACATCTGTAAAAGCCAACTCCTAATCATCTGTTTCAGAGAAAAGGGGCTGCAGTAGGAAAATGAAAAGTCAGGAAAGTCCAACTTTGGAAGGAATTCTTAAAATCACACATTTTAAATGGTGCTCGAGGCTCTGTAAATGGACTGCCCTTGAACTGAAGATTCTAGAAAGGTCTGAGGCTTAAAGATCTGGGAATGAGCTACTGAAGGACCCAGAATGCTGTTGTCTCGGTCTCCCCCTCCTTCAGCCCAAGGCGGTGATGTTTGGCATCATGAAACTTTCTCTCAACTTCCCCTGGGGTGAAACTCAAAAGCTGTAGCTATCAGAGCACAGAGGGCCAATTCTGGTTATCCTTCCATACAGTGGGGCTGGCAGGTGGATCAGAGTTGAAGCAAAGCCAGTCCCATTTCTCACCAAGCAATGGATGAGAAACTCAAAGTGAGGATAAGGGTTTTTCCTGGGCACTAAGTATGCACATGGAAACCCTAGTGGCATAGTGGTTAACTCCTCAGCTGCTAACCAAAAGGTCAGCAGTTCGAATGCACCAGCCACTCTTTGGAAACTCTATTGGGCAGTTCTCCTCTGTCCTGTAGGGTCGCTATGACTCAGAATCGACTCAACGGCACACAACAATAACAGTGCACAGAATCAAGGCTGAAGGGCTTCCTCACCCCAAAATAAGGCTAGAGTTGACAGCTATAGCTGCTGTTCACCCTGCTTCTGGCAAGAACACCCTGATCTTGCTTCAGAACCCCTCTTCCACTAATTTGGCCATGTGAACTGGATGGGGTTAATGCTACTCTTAGCCACAGGGCTAAGAATGAGAGCCAGACCCAATCAGTCAGTGCACTGCCCTGTGATTGGCTTAGAGATGGTCATGTGACCCAATCAGAGCCAATGAGTCTCTACTCTGTGACTTTTGTGAAACTGCTGGGAAGCTAGAATCTCACTTTCCCACTGGTGTTTCAGACAGAAGAAAATACAAGCCCTGAGCTGATGGCTGCCATATTACCACCCTGGGGAGAAAGCGTGCCCACGAATGCAGCCCACAGAGAGGAAAACCAAGCCAGAGGTGGAGGGAATGAGATAGCACCCTGATGGCAAGGCCTGGATCCAGCTGAGCCTGAAGCCAGAGCGACTGCTCTCTGGACTTGTTGGGTTCCTTAGCCAACAAAAAAAATTTCTTTTTTCCTTTTTAAGTCATTTTGAGTTGCATTTCAGTGGCAACTAGAAGATTCCTAATACACAGTCAAAACAGCGTTGGGTTCTAGAGGATGCTTTTCTGGTTCCAAGCTTCATCCATAGGAAACATTTATCCATAAGCAAAACTGGGGACCACACTCCCCCCCGCAAATCAAGCAGGGACAGAGTCAAGCTCATGAGCAATGTTAAGCTGGCCACAGAGGATTGGAAAGGAGCCACGTATTCAACCACACAATCCAAAGAGCAGCCAGCCTTTCCCACGGCCACCAGGACCCAAATTTGAAGGAAGTCACTGTTTGCTCCAAGAGGACGAGGTCCAGCAGCTACAAGGGAGCCCATACTATGCATGCCCCTTCCCGCCAACTCACACAAGTCAACTCACAGGACAGGAACCAGCTGAGAACATCCAGTCACCACTGGATCTCAAGAGTTGAAGCATTCAGGTCACACCCCACTTCCCCTCCCCACACTTTCAGCTAGTTTTCCAGCCAGCAGCACTGGCTTTCGTGAAGCTTCCCCTGGGGTTTAGGGGAAGAATCAGGGCCTTTTCCCTAATAAGCCTTGGGTATAACTGGAAAGCTGGAGCCAACAGAGAATCCCTTGGAGATGACAAGGCATTAAGACAATACCGTGAGCAGAAGACTCCTGCGGAGAGTTAAAAATATGGGCTCCGGGGCCAGGCTGCCTGGGCGGAAACCCCGACCTTGCCTCTTATTAGCTGTATGACTCCAGGCACGTGACTGACCTCTGTGCCTTCGTTTCCTTAACTGTCAAATGGGAACAACAGGGTTACAGTGATGATTCAATGCGATAATCTGTAGCAAGCACTGCGTAGTAACCTGGCACATGGTAGGATCTTAGTAGAGCTTAGCTATCGAACTAGACCCATTTTTACTGGGGTCCATGAACCTCCTGAAACTGCATGCAAAATTTTACATTGTTTTTTTTCTGGGGAAGGGATCTGTAAGCTTTCATCAGCCTCTCAAAGGGGTCTGCTGATGCAAAACACTACCAAAGTAGCTGAAAGGCTACTGAGGGCCGGGACTGGGCCATTCTCTTTGTTGTGTGTCCCCCAAAAGAACCAGGGTCTGACTCTGTGTGTATTACACATCAATAAATAACTTAATGGCTACATGGAGGGTGAGACAGATGAATCAACACAGAAATGCCTAGATGGAGTAGACCTGGGCCATTCCCATCATCACAGAGCTCAGGTTTGAAGACCTTGAGATGCATGGACCTCACCCTACCCCCTTTCCAGCTTTATTCATCGTCCTCAAAGACCCAGAGACACACCCTGCCTGACACACACTCAAGCAAGCTCCTTGACATCAGCCAACGTGCCCAACCCTCACCCTGCCCCTCCCTGCCCAACGTTCCCCCCGAAGGAACCCAGCCTTCAGGCAGGGAGCTGAACTCAAACGTGCTCTGGCGTGAGGCATGTCTCAGCAGGACGGGGTTAGTGACATGCTTGACCCAGGGAGCAGGTGCCGGGGGAGAAGTCAGATGACGAGTGACTGGCGAGACCAGCCACATGCGGAGCAGCCCCGCGTTCCAGAATGCTTCACTTACAGTCGTTTGATCCCAGACTCCGGCTGGGGGGACGTTGTCGGGTGTGTGACGGGTGGAGGTTGGGGTATTCGGTTTTCCTGTTCCATTTCTTCACTGGAGAGAGCAGAGAGGCATGAGATAAGAGAGTTAAAAACTGCACAAGAGCTGGAACAGTCCAGTCTGATGGTCTGAGAGGGCATGTACTTTTTGGGGAGAGTGGAAATAAGGGGACTGGAAAGGACAGCAACAGAAGCCTCTGGCCAGCAGTCTGTCTGCCTGACGGGCTGGCCTCTTAGCAATTGTGTGGCCACTTCCGAGGAGGGGTCCCGCTTGTGGGGGCCATGGACACAGGTGCCTGCGGTCCCTTTGGCCTGGTTGCTCAAATTGCGAAGAATTTAAGAGAAGGGGCTACGTCTCTATTTGCAGTGCACTTGGAAGATTCCAGAACTACTGTATTTCCTGTCCTTGCCTATGCTTCCTTGTCTCATACTGTTGCGGTTTACTCCACCTGGAATATGCCGCCCACTCCCCAACATCCCCCACACCTGAATATTACCCTATCCTTTAAGGAAGTCCTGGTTTAAATGCCACCTCCTCCACGAAGCCTTCCTGGTTTCCACCCCATCCCCAAGCTGGAAGTCATCTCTCCCTTCTTTGAATATCCAGTGCACACTGTCTGTAACTCTAGCATGCCAGGCACATGGAGGATTCTCTATAAAAGTGTGTGGTATTTTCTGGGCATCTCTTGCCTTCCCCACTAAGGCAGGGATCACACCTGATACACCTGCCCTTCCTTCCTGCTTTCCATTCAACACATTTTTATTGAACACATACTACGTGCTGGAGCCCTGGTGGCGCAGTGGTTAAGAGCTCGGCTGCTAACCAAAAGGTTGGCAGTTTGAATCCACCAGGCACTCCTTGGAAACCCTATGGGGCAGTTCTACTCTGTCCTACTCGGAACCGACTTGACGGCAGTGGGTTACTGTGTGCTAAGCTCCATTCAAAGGGCTGGGAACATAACTGCAAACAAGACAATTGAGGTTTCTGGTCTCTTGTTGATGGTGAAGTCCTAACCCCTGTACCTGTGAATGTGACCTAGTTTGGAAATAGAGTTTTTCTTTGCAGATGTTATAAGTTCCTGAGTAGGGTGGGTCCTAATCCTAATTCCTTCTGCATGGTGTCTTATAAAAGAGAACATGCCTGGAAAGAACCACACACAGGGGAGGACAGACGTCATGAGATGATGGTAGCAGATGCACCTGTAAGTAGCAACGGAACGCCAGCGATTGCCGACAGCCATAAGAAACTAAGAGACAGGTACGAGCAGTTCCCCTCTCAAAGCCCTCAGAAGGAATCAATACGGCTGAGACCCTGAATTCTGGCTTTTAGCCTCCAGAACCGTGCGACAATAGATTTCTGTTCTTGAAAGCCACCCACTTTTGTCATGGCAGCCCTGGGAGACTAAGGCACACTACTGAACAGGATTCACATTAACCAGCAGGAGAGTGTGAGATGGTGAAAATGGCCACGGAGAAAGAGAAACTGGGGAAATTGACAGCGTTTGGGACGGGCGCTCCTCTGGGTGGGTGGTGATAGGGAAGGCCTGTCTGAGGAAGTAACATCTGAACCCGGATGACAAGGAGTCAACCATGGGAAGAGCCAAGGAAAACATTTTCCCAGCAGCAGGAGCAGCAAGTGCAAAGGTCCTGGGGTGGAAACGAGCACGTTGTGTTTTGAGGCACACAAAGAAGGGCAATGTGTACGGAGCTGAGGATGAGGGTGCAGTGGCAGCACTGTGCTCTAGAACTTTCTGTGACGGTGGAACTGTTCTATATCTGTGCCATCCAACAGGGTAGCTGCGAGACGCAAGTGGCAACTAAGCCCTTGAAATGTGGCTACAGTGACTGAGGAATTGGATTCTAAAATTTATACTCACGGGCTACTGTCCTGGACAGCGTGGTTCTGGTCCACGCAAGGAGTTGATTGACCGCTGCTTGAATGAATAAATACTTAGGCCATGCAGCACCACTATCTCTTATGTGCAATTCCAAAATCCAAAAGCTCTAAAAATTGAAATTCAATTTTTAGAAGTTCATTTGGTAGAAAAACCTAAACTGAACTGTCGCAAGGCTGTATGCATCCCATCTCAGATGAATGTTTATATTTCTCGCTGCATAGATAGGAATGTATGTGATCATGGGGTGCTGCCCTGGCCCCGCTAGCAGAGAAAAATAATGCAATCTATATAATATTCCTTTTTCTAAAAGCTTGGGTATAACTGGAAAGAGTTCTGAATTCCAAAATACACCAGGGTCCAAGGGTGCCAGAAAGGGATAGTGAGCTTATATATGTGCTTCAGGTGACCCCATGTGTGTCAGAGTAGAACTGTGCTCCATAGAGCTTCCAAGGGCTTAACTTCTGGAAGCAAATCACCAGCCTTTCTTCCGAGGTGCCTCTAGGTGGACTCGAACCTCCAACCTTTCAGTTAGCAGCCGAGCGCGTTCACTGTTTACACCACCCAGGGACTCCAGGGGGTTCCCATAGAGGGTACAGATGCAGTCCTTGCTTCCAGGAGCTCAGTGTCCAGAAACTGTGCAAGCCCAGAAAAGACCCAGCTGGGCCCTCCAGCCCCAGAGGGTCAGCCAGGCGCTCCCAGGGCCACTCACCTCTTGTAGTAGGCCAGCTCCTCCTGCAACAGGAACACCTTGGACTTGAGCTCATTGCGTTCGTGCAGCACATCCCGCAGCTCCTGCAGCGTGAATCGGGGGCGGTTCGGGTCCGTCAGCTCCATGGCCAGCTTGTCCGCCTCGGAGACACCCTCCTCTGCACCTGGCTCCATCTGGAGGAGGGAGAGATGCTGCTAAGCAATTCCTGGCCACCCCCGCCAGCCCCCGCTCCGCATCCCAACAGAGCCCGAGTTTTCCACACTCCCTGATGTTAGCAGCTTTCTGAGAGCACTATTTTAAGTGCTTGAGGGCGGGCGGCCTCTGCTCACGCACATTCTGTGCAACTCGGTTCCCTCCGGAGATGAAAGTGGGTGGCCACCTGGTCATTGTCCGCCTGCTCAATGGCCTGCCCGCCCGACCCAGGGCTTTATCACAAACCACACGAAAAGGCATCAGAAGAGAAAGAAAACCTTGTGTCTGACTCCGCCACCCTCATCATCTGCCAGCTTCCCCCTTTCCATGGTCTCTCATTGCATATTCTTGCTGAGAAAAACAAAAAACGAAAAACCGAACCCGTTGCCGTCGAGTTGATTCCGACTCATAGCGACCTTATAGGACAGAGTTAGAACTGCGCCATAGGGTTTCCAAGGAGCATCTGGTGGATTCGAACTGCCGACCTTTTGGTTAGCAGCCAAACGCTTAACCACTGCAGCACCAGGGCCCCATTCTTGCTAAGAGGCATTGCTAATGTTCCCAAAGTTGCTGGCATCACAGTCAGACACACTTCTCGGTGTCCCCAGCACCAAGCCACCGTGTGGCCCATAGCAGGCGCTCAGGATGTGGTGAATGAGGGAATGAACGATGCTCAGAGATGTAAGTGACCTGCCCACGCTCACACACCTGGAAGTAACGGAACCCTCGCTGGTTTTTCCGGTCCATGGTACCATGTTTGGCCTGGTAGGAGGTGGCAGGCTGTCTCCAGGGGAAGTGGCTGGCTCAAATCAAGGGCTCCCAAACTCAGCACGAGTAAGAATCCCCCAGGGCTTGGTAAGTGGGCAGATTCCTGAGCCCACCTGAGAGTGTTTGTCCAGTTCCCCGCAGACAGCTCACAGACCTCAACCGGAGAAATACAAGTCACACCAGCAGATCCTAGTATGCCGGGCCACTTGCCCTCAGCCAGACCCAGCCCGGTCCTCCATCCTCCTCAGAGCAAATGGGAACCTTTTTTTTTGTTTTTACTGAGGTAAAACACACATGACATAAAATGTACTACTTTAAAGTGAACAGGTCAGTGGCATTTAGTACGTTCACAATGTTGTGCAACCATCCACCACTATCTAGTACCAGAGCGTTCTCGTCATGCCAAGAGGAATCACTGTACCCATTAACAGTCACTGCCCATTTCCTTCCCTTCCCCTAGCCCCCGGAACCACCATCTACTTTCTGTCTGTGGATTTACCTATTCTGGACATTCATTATAAAAGGAACCACACAATATGTGGCCTTTTGTCACTGGCTTCTTTCACTTAGCATCATTTTCAGGGTGCACCCACATTGTAGCATGAATCAGAACTTCATTCCTCTGTATGGCTAAATAATGTTCCTTTGTGGGGACAGACCACATTTCATTTATCCATTTGGGTTGTTTCCACTTTCTGGCTATTGTGAATAATGCTTCTATGAACATTCACGTATACGTGTTTGTGTGAACGTGTTTTCGATTCTCTTAGGTACGTACCTAGGAGCGGAACTGCTAGGTCATATGGTAACTGTGTTTAACTTATGCAGGAACCACCAGACTGTTTCCACAAGCGGATGGACCATTTTACATTCCCACTAACGATGGATGAGGGTTCTACTTTCTCCAATTCCTCGCCAACATTTGTTATTTTCCATTTCTCTGATGATAGCAAGGCAACCTGCCCCAACACTGGCCAGCCAGCCAATCTGCAGGTGACCCAAACCTCAGGCTCACACACTCCTTCCTGCCCCTCTTCCCCAGAACACTCAGGCCTGCCAGACACTGGGGCAAGTCCCTTACCTCTCTGTGTCTCTGGCAGGTGCCATCTGAAAGGCGAAGGGATCAAGCCCAAACCCCACTTCCCATGAAGCCTTTGGACGAGTCCTCTCGGGAGCTCTCTCTCAATCCCCATCCGGCCCTTGACGACCCAAGAATGTGTCTAAGGGCCCTCTCCACCCAGACATTCTGCAATTCCTTTGAAAACACAAGAATGCTGTCTGCTTGTCCCTGGCAGGTTGTAATCACCCGAGATACTCAAAGGCTGCCTTGGTACAGTGTCCCGACACCCTTGAGCCACCAGTGTCCCGTGGTGGACTGGAAGGAGTGGACAGTGTACAAGAGATCAGGATAGCAGTGAGTCTGGAATAAGGAAACCCCCCCCCCCAAAAAAAAAGAAACAGTTGCTGTCGAATCGATTCCAACTCATAGCAACCCTACAGGACAGAGCAGAACTGCCCCATAGAGTTTCCAGGGCTGTAATCTTTACAAAGCAGAGTGCCACATATTTCTCCTGCAGAGCAGCTGGTGTGTTTGAACTGCTGACCTTTCGGTTAGCAGCCAAGCGCTTAACCACTGCACCACCAGGGCTCCTGGGGAATAAGAAAAAAACAAACAAAAGCAAACCCACTGCCATCAAGTCAGTTCTGACTCACAGTGACCCTACAGTACAGAGCAGAACTGCCCCATAGGGTTTCCAAGGAGTGGCTGGGGGATTCAAACTGCTGACCTTTTGGTTAGCAGCTGAACTCTTAACCACTGCGCCACCAGGACTCTGAATAAGGAAAAGGGGGACTGAAATACAGACTCCCCCCAAAAAAATACGGCACAGAGAGGAGAAAGGGCTCCAGCCTGTGGGGGCCTGAGACCAGGACGGTGAAGCATTCCACAAGACAAACCGAGATGCCATACATCCTGGGAAAGCCTGGAACGGGTTGTTCCAGAAAAGAACGTTTGAAAGGAGACATCACACCCCAGGGCAGATCAGGTGACACAGAGGCACCCACAGGCGTGGGCAGGGAAGCTCGCTGACCATGCCCAGCCTCAGGGCTGGGGCCAGCAGGGGACTGAAGGCAGCAGGGGGCCTCACTACACCCATAAACTGAACCCTGCCTCACACCACCCCTAAGCCATCCGGCAACTCTGGGCAGGGAGGGAGATGTTTGAGGGTGTAACTTCCTGAGAAGACATCCTAGGTGTCTAATGCCACATCCTTGGGGGCACTACATCCCTGGGGTGGGCTGCATCCACTGGGGCATAGCTTCAGTGTCCGACTCCCCTCTGTAGGGCCTCTGGGCTACTCCTTGGGCCCCAAACAGCCATATACTCAGTGTCCTCAACCTGCAACCAGCCATTGAAAATGCTTGGTATCCAGCATGCACTCAGTAATGCCAGTTCCTTTCTCTTCCCCTGGCCAGTTAGTCATGGGGCATTGTTGCATGTCTAATATTTATTTAAAATTCACTAAGCACCAACTCTGTTCTGGACACTGAGTTCTCAGCTCAGTATTAAGGCTAGAAGAGAAGGAGACCAGGGTGGGAGGGGAAGGAGGGATGATACACACAAACAGAAATGTAACATAGTGAGAGAGAGGCAGGAAGTCCTCAAATTCTAAATGAGGAGGATCACAGATGTTATTGCAGATGTGGTTTCTGTGCTAGGAGTTTTGACAAATGTGTAGGAGTTCACCAGAAACCCTGGGCACCAACCATACAGACCAGAAGTTGCAAACTTGGGGCCCTCAGACCACACCCAGTCCCCTCCATACACATTTTGCTTGGCCCTCACTGTGTTCTAAAAGTCTTTGGAATTAGCTGCCAAATGTTTTAAATCAGATTTAACACTAAAGTTTGGGTTTTAGCTTCACTTTAGAAAAAAATTTAGAAGATCTGGCCACACTGGGCCCACACTCCCACGTGGCAACACTAGGCTGGAGCTGAGTAACAGCCGCTCCGTTTTTCATGCTCTCTGCCCAGCTGCCTACTCCCACCCCTCGGCCCTGGTGACCCCTGCCATGGACTCAAACCTCAGGCTTACATACTCCTTTCTGCCCCTCTTCCCCAGAACACTCAGGCCTGCCAGGTACTGGGGCAAGTCCCTCACCTCTGTGTCTCCGGCAGGTGCCATCTGAGAGGTGAAGGGATCAAGCCCAAACCCCCACTTCCCAAGAGCCTCTGGACAAGTCCTCTCTGGAACTCTCTCTCGTTTCCCCACTGGGCCCTCGACAACCCAAGAACGTTTCTTCCTGCCCTGGCATCCCCCCGTTCCTATGAACACATGCGGTCATGGCCACAGAAGGTCTGCTCATCCCTGACAGGTTGTAACCACCTGGCACTTAAGGGCTGCCTTAGATACTGAGTTCTTTTCCACTGCAGTAGGGATGGCGCTTTGAGGGTCCAAGCCCCTTAGAAAACCAAACCAAACCAGTTGCCACCGAGTGGACTCCAATTCATAGCGACCCCACATGTATAAGAGTAGAACCATGCTCCAGAGGGTTTTCAATGGCTGATTGTTAGGAAATAGATCACCAGTTCTTTCTTCTGAGGCACCTCTGGGCATACTCAAACCTCCAGCCTTTCGGTTAGTAGCCAACCATGTTAACCTTTTGTACCACCCAGGGACTCTGATTTGCGTCTTGCCTCTTAGAGCTTGGGGATCTCCTAACCAGGTCTGCCAAAGCCCTGACTTCTGGGACTGTTGTCTGAAAGGGCAGGAGGAGGGCAAGCTTGCGGCTCCAGCATTTCTGCAGGCCACAGACTGGCCTGTCCAGACCGAGGGAGATTGCGAAGGCTCTTTCCAAGGTGGCAATTGGGCCTATCAGCAGCGGGCTGTCTAGACTTTCCACCAGGGACACCGAGGCGGCTCAGGTCATCTCAGATAAGCCGAAGCCTTCCAAGGGCTGGTCACAGGTCCCTGGAGACACCTTGGGCCCTGCTGCTCCCAGGGAGCCCCAGAGACTAGCGACAAGCAATGGGGCCTGTCTGGAGGCCCTGGTGGGGGTAGCACCCTCTCTCAGCTCTCCATCGAAGACCTGGCCTCCGGGAATACGCACTGCTGCCTTGGGGCATCAGGGCCACTTCCTGTGCCCCCCACAGTCCTTGAATATACCTTTGCACAGCCCCTGGCCCAGCAAAGGGGAGCAAATAGGTGTGCTCT